CCACTGAACCACTCACCACCACCGGACAGTTCATCAGATTTTCTTCAGATACATCAAATCTCTAGCACATGTCCAACTCCATAGAGAAAAAGGCTAAACATTGACATGTATATATTCTTTAATCAGAAAAATTATTGATTTGTGTTGTTTGATTTTCGATCAGGAGAATAAGTGGAGAGAGCAGATCATGGTGGTCTAGGATGCCTGTGAAGGGAAGGACTAGAAATCTGCCTATGTTACTTATTCTTCTCTATTAATCACATCCATGTTTTACTAATGATATTTTAATTTAGTTGCTTTAATTTGGAGTTTTGTTTTGATTTTCGTAGGTTGATGTGTATCTATGTGTGCAAGTATGTATGTATGTGTATTTTTGTGTGCAGGTGTGTTTATTTGTGTGTGTAACTATGTTTATGTATATCCTAATTTTTGTTTTATCTTCTTTTAAAAACATATTATAGAAATATGATTTGCTTTTTATCCCAATGTAGGAATTGTTTGAAGTGGAGAATGCAAAACAGGATCGTATGAGTGACTTTAAGGTGGAAAAGTTTTTTCTTTTACAATCCCCTTTTGTATGTATATATTATAGGTATGTTAGTAATAAGTATAGTTGGGAGCACTTTTGGATGGGACTATGCCAGAGTGCTAGCTGAGAAAAACCAATATTAATATTTTTGCTATTTCTGTTTCTTCTATTTGCTTCTTTTATGTGTTACAGATTTGAATGCTTAATAATGTAATCATGGAAATCAATATTTTCAGGTGTACCAAGCTATTCAGACGCAACCCCCATTCAAGATCAAACAAACATAATCATGTGTTGAGGGATCGTAATACTAAAATCCATTAAAACACTAGATGGCAACTGCAAAAAGGTAGCAACTTTAACCCTTTTCATGTTAATACGACTCAAATTCATGCTCTATTGGCTTATGTCGGACAAAGAACGTTAGATGTTTAATCTATTTTAAAGCAATAACAATGCTATTTTTAACGTTTCTGTTTAGAAATTTTGAATTAATTATGGGCTTTTTTGTTTTATTATGATTTTCATATTTTCAGCAAGTTAGTTGGGTCACAATTGGTTGCCTTGGGTGTTTTATTGTGATAGTTGGTGTTTGGAATTCCTTCTGTGATTGTTTTTTAGTTATAATTTATGATATCTGGTGTGAATTTTCTGATCTCTGCTGTGATTTTCTGATTTCTGGTGTATATACAGTTCTCAATCATGACATCTAAAAATTCGACTTCACCATCGGTGGGATCAACCGTTGTGACCCCTTCAAAATCTCTTTCCATTTACATGTTTGCAAAGTCTTTATGCTTAACTTATTATAACTATTTTCATATGTATGCAACCCCTTTATCCCTAATTTCATTTTTTGCTTTTACCTTCCACCTAATAGCAGATAGCAGGTTTGTGTGTGTATGGAAGGTGGTTGGGGCATAACAGAATGAAATGATGTAAGTTACTATTTCTTCCATGTAGATTCACGAGTTGCATAGCCCATGTAGCAAGATCCAACACTATCTTCAATACTCACTGCCTCCTAACATCAGGGGTAAATTTGTCCAAAAATAAAAAAACACTCAAAAATTCAACTTTTTATGTAATGCAGATTGTAGTTCCAGACCATCATCATCAGGGGCAAATTATTTCCAGTCGGATTAAGTTGGACTAATAGAATTCTAATGATTGGGTGAAATGAACTTTGGGAATCAAATTTTGCAATGTTGAAAACAAATTCAAATTGTCATTGCTGGTTCATAAACCATGATAAGAAAAAAAAAATTAAGAGTACAAATTCTATAATTAAATAGATTTTAATTCATTATTAACAAAAGCTTGAAAGTGCAATGTTGAAGGAAGTAATTAAACTTGGGACTTTGTTGCTATTTCTTCCATTCAGCCCTAATTGGACAGATGTATTTTTGCAGATTATAAGGTTTTAACATTCAAGTGGGCTGTAGTGGTTTACTTATAGTTTTGAAATGCTCATTGTTTGTGTAATGTAAAATAGTGGTTTATTCTGATATTTTTTTGAATAAAAATGATTTTAACCTTAATTTTGTTTTTATCCTTTTGGCTTTGAAGTACCCAAAATACCCCCAAAAATGATTCTTCCAATTTTTATTTTCGTTTTTTTTTTCTTACTAGAAGAAGTTGTGAATAGGTGTCAAATTTTGATATAGTTAGATGCAAGAATTGGACATTCCCGGATATGTGATTCAATTATTAATAATGATTGATTTTCATTCCATGCCATTTTGATATGGAATGAAATTTTAATTTAACCGGTCTTAATCATTATCCTTGTAATTTTTTTCTAGCAGATAAATTCATCTAAATTAATTTTGGAACTTTAATAATATTGCTAAATTTTAACTATCTTTGACCGTATGCATCATGTCTAATTTCCTTTCTATGTAATATACGTTTTTTTGGGATCCAAAGGGAAGCTATCACTTTTTTGGTCGTTAACTAAGACTTAGTACTATCTAGAATCCACTATATGTTACGTGCCATTATTGGACCAAAAAAGAGTAACACATATAGTTACTTTTTAATATAAAAAAATTAAACAAACTAAAGGTAGCATGTCGATTTAGGATATGGAGTTTTTCGTGAGGTACAACAAGAATGTTCTATAATTTTAGAATCTAAACATTTATAAGTCTGAGATTTCCGCGTGCCAATACAAAAGTATTACCGAAGTCTGACGAAAAATTCAACGCCAGTGAAGTCTATACATCAAATCTGGTGTATAAAGAATCGTTGCACAATTAATAACGAACAATCAATCATGTGTTTATGTATATTTGTAAAAAATCCTAAGTTTTTATTTTTAATCTTATTGAGTTTGTTTCTACTAGCATGACTATTATTGATAATTGTTTAGATGTAGTAAATCATTTGCACAAAAGAACTAATTGCTTGTAGAAACTAATTTCTGAAAAAACTTATTTGCACCCGTCGCTTGGCGCGAGTAAACGACTAGTATATATATAGGGCTAGGTTAATGTGTTTCTTACATTTATAGAGTGCAAAAATTCACCAATGGAAATTTAGTAAAATTAAATAATTATTTAATTAAATAAAGATACATATTAAATAATTTCCATAATTGTATATATATTAAATGATATCCATAATTATAATTCTCCTTTTGTGGAAACTAATTAAATCCGTCATTAATGCCAACAATAATATTCTTTTAGAATAAATTCGCATCTAGGTTTTTATCATTAAATAATTATTTAATTAAATAAAGATACATATTAAATAATTTCCATAATTGTATATATATTAAATGATATCCATAATTATAATTCTCCTTTTGTGGAAACTAATTAAATCCGTCATTAATGCCAACAATAATATTCTTTTAGAATAAATTCGCATCTAGGTTTTTATGTATGGATTCGTGTTTTGTTTCAGGGGACACTCACTTAAAATACAATAAATTTGAATAGAATATGAAGAACGATGGTGTATTCTACTAGAATACACTCTCATTCTGCAAGAATACAATGTCATTCTTCTACATACGAATTCATTCTGAAGTAATATTATTGCTGACATTAATGACGAATTTAATTAGTTTCCATAAAAAAACAATTACAATTATGGATATCATTTAATATACATATAATTATGGAAATCATTTAATATCTATCTTTATTTGATTAAATAATAATTTAATTTTTACTAAATTTTTATTGGTATATTCTAGCACACAATAAATGTGAGAAACATTTGAACCTACCTATATATATATATATATATATATATATATATATATATATATATATATATATATATATATATATATATATATACTAGTTGTGAGACCCATGTATTAAATGGGTTAATTTAAAAAAAAATGTCAAAATATTTGAGAACTTTGAATTTATAAGAAACTAAAAAAAAATATTGAATTATTATAATAAAAATATTTTTTATCTTTTAAATTTAAACAAATCCTAATTTAAATAAATAAAAGAAACTAATAAGCTTTAATTTTGATAATTTTGAAATTAAAATGTAACTTCATCAATGAAAATTGATATTCATTTATTACTACATTTATTGAAAGTATTATATTAAAATATTATGTGAAATTTAATAAATTAGAAAAACTCATCAAATGAAATGTTGAAAAAAATTCAAAATAACCACAAAATGACATTTGGCAAATTGAATGAGAGCATGTCATGTGACAAAAAAAACCCTTCATTTATTAGAGTGTATATATATATATATATATATATATATATATATATATATATATATATATATATATATATATATATATATATTGCAAAAATCAGCCTAATCGGAGATAAATCACAAATCGGACCTCCACCGATGAGATGTATTGCTAACGGTCACAATAATCGGACTTGGTTAATGCAGGTCAAAGTCGGAACTAATCGGACCTAAGCGGGTTTGATCAATGCAGGTAAAAGTCGGACCTAATCAGACCTAATCGCCGATTAATCGCTTATTTTGGAGGATTAAAGTTAGATTTATAAATTTTTGAATAATTTTCTTAATTAATCTCTCGATTAATCTCCGCCTAGCCGATTAATCCATAATCGCTAGTCTACCGATTAACGGCCGATTAGCGATTTCTGCAACCATGATATATATATATATATATATATATATATATATATATATATATATATATATATATATATATATATATATATATATATATATATATATAACCCTTTTCTCTCGACTGATGAATAAAATCTTGAAAAGCAAGAATCTTGGCCAGCTTAATGGATGCAACATCGTGATCTGGAGGTGGTGGAGCAGAAAAACTTCCTGAAACAAAAGTTTCCTCATTTGCTACGAAATTAAAGTCATCGTCAAAATTAGGGCTCTGAACGTCTTGATGAACCTGGGATGATTCAGCAATTGGACCTTGAACATCTTCTTGAACTTGGGGTGGTTTAATGATTGGGATTTGAACATCTTCATGAACCTAGGCTGGTTCAATGATTGGGCTTTGAACATCTTCATGAACCTGGGCTGGTTCAACTATAGAAACTGATTGTTGTACTGGCTCAATGATAAGCACTACCGGCCTTAGGTCTCTCCGTCTTCGCTTCATTGGTACCAGGGAGGAATTTGGTTCGTCTTTATCACTCTCAGATGGAGATCTAACAGTAACAGAAACTGCTTGGGGAGGCTTCCTTGCAGTTGACTGTAATTCTTTAATAAATGCTTCCATCTGTTCGGGCGTTTGATTATTCGGTTGCTTGAAAATATTGATTACAGACTCTGTCTCAGCTGGAGTAATCTCAGCTTCATTGACTGGCTCCTTCGGTGGAACGAACAGATGAAAATTCATATCATCATTATCATCAGAATCACCATCATCATCATCAACAACATCATCATCATCATTATCATCAACATCATCATCATCATCCCCAGAAACTTCAACCGAAAAACTGAGATTTGTACTTGATGGTGCCACACGCTCTTAAATTACTATAGAAATTGGAGTACTAGAAGCTTGGACACCTTCTGTCTCTGCAAAATTTCCAAATTTAACCAACTCCTTCAATCCTTGAAAGGCAATTTTGGCTGATTTTCTTGATTGCTTCATGAGCCCAAAGGTGTTGGGACCCAAGGCTTTCATATCCAAAGTGCCAGATGACCTCTCAATTTGGGGATATTTTTCATTGAAGATCATTTAAAGTAACCTAGGATACATCAAGAACAGGTCCTTCTTCTTCCCCTGAAGGTTTCTTTTCATTTCTTCAAAGACAAACCTTGAAAAGTTATAATCCCAATCCATTGCAAGTGCGACAATGGTTGAAGTTGTAGTCTGTCTAATTTCATCAGCTCCTCCCTTCCTTCCAGAAATGCAGATCACAAAGCAATGCGCCAGAAACCTCCAGAAAGGTGGCATCAGTTTCTTGATGGTGGGAGGATAAGTTCCTTCATAGCACATCTTCTCAAGGGATCCTTTCACTTGAACAGCAGTGTACTCAATTGGAAATACAGATGCATCACCAAACTCAAGTACCTCTCGGATAACTTGCTCATAAACAATTACTTGAGTTTCCTTCACCATTGATTCAACAGTATCAACTCCATCTGCTCCATGCTTGTTGATTGAAGCATTCTTCCAGAAGTTAGCAATCAGGTCCTTGTAGGTGACTGGATTAGAACGCAAGGTGTGGGGGAAATCCTGCAATTGTTCAAACCCACGATCATGGACTTGAATTCATTATGCGTGACTGGTGGATCCAAAAGATATCCTGCGATGTTGTGAGTATCAACAAATTTCAACTGCTCCACCATTTATCTACACCAAACAAATTAAGTGACAACAATAAATTTATTATTAAAATTAAAATTAAAATTATAAATTTAAAGTTTGCTCAATTATTGTTGATTTCGGTCAAAGTCACTACTTTATGCGTTTTCGGTCAGGTCAAAGTTTTTTATCGTATTCGGTCAAACCACATTTGACCAAACGATTTCGGTCAACTATGTTATTTTCGGTCAGCTTAATTGGTTTTCGGGTGGATCAATTCGATTTCAGTCAAGTGGAACGTTTTCGGTCAAAGCAAATTGGTTTTCTTTCGGATCCGGATCAAACCGAAAACCCGAGAAAAACCTGATGATTCATATTTTGACAGCTTCGCCGGAAACTACCGTCAACCATGCCAGAAACTCCATTGAACACCTGCAATCACTTCAAAACAACATAAAAATGGAAGCATGAGGTTCAAACTTTGTATAGCTAGAGAAGATTTCAAGAAATCAAGTGTGATTTGATGATTTTTACACCGAAGATGAAGGAGATTTTTCGATGAATATGAACTGATCAAGCCTAGGGTTTTGAGAGAGAAGAGGGAAACTGATTTCAGTGGATTAACTGGGGATTTGAATAATGAAGCCGAAAACAAAAAATATATCTTTTATACCCCAAAATTTGGGTTCTCGGCCTTTTGGGCCACCGAATTCGATGGGCTTCATTTATATGATTTTAATTCATTTCAGAGATAAACAAAGCAACAAAATAAAATAAAATAAATGTCAAACAAAAATAAAATCAAAATAAAAATTTAGAATAATTTAAAAATGAAAACATATAAAATGCCAAATAAAAAAATAAATTGAAAATAAAACAAACACACTTTAATAAACATATTTTTGGATATTTATTTTAAATGTTATGATTTTTTTAATTCCCCCCCTAAATTTGTGCATAGAAGAAAAACATGAACAAATTTAACAAAAACAAAAATAATAACTAAATTTAAAACTTTTTGGGATCAAAGTTGTCAAGCAATTCAATATCGTTTATCAGCACACACCTGCATGTTTAACTATGGTCAATCACCAATATTGTGGTCCACTTAAACACAAAGGATATTGACAAGTTGGACAGATTATAAATGACAAGTCACTGTGACGATATTCCTAAATAATATTCCTAAATAGACCATTTTGCTGACGACGACCAAGGATATTGTTGTCCACTTAAATTCAGCAGCGAGATCTACAGACAACCTTTAGTTAATTCAATTTTAAGTGCACTAGAACATGTTCCCCAGTTCACGACATACCCTAACAATCAAGGAATTCTAAAGAGCTCTTTACTTTAGGTGAGTGCTCAATTATTTGAGAGAGAAGATAGATATAGAAATGCATATGTTGTATCCCAGGTCGGATGTCTTCCAATCACACAGAAGGAACAACATATGACTAACATAGATTGATAGTTAGAGAGATAGAAGGGTGCATATGATGTGTCCCAGGTCGGATCTTCTGATCACGCAAAGGGGACAACATATGACTGACATAGATAGATATAGAGAAGCATAGATAGAGATGTATAGAAATAGAGGTGCATAAGTTGCTTCCCAGGTCGGATCTCTTCCAATCATGCAAAGGGGGCAACATATGACTGACAGAGAGGATAAGAAAGAAAAAACAATTTCACACAGACCTACTTTATCAGAACCCCCCAGTCACCCTATCAGCACTAGAATTCAGGACATAAGTCCGTACATCGAAGAAGTGTTGAGCCGCAGTTCTAGATGATAAGTAACTTTAATGTATCTTGTAGGCTCTCTTGTTTATCTCACTGCTCAATCTATCCAATCGTCGTATGGTCAGTCCAAATGTAACTATCTAAGTCCAGATGAGTTAACTTTGTCAAGTCCTTTCATTTTCAACAGTGTCTAGTCCTTTCATTTGAATCCTTTGTGCCTACCAACACATTGAATACAGAGTCTAAACAATTCAGCTTCAGTGCATTACACGCATCTCATATTGCCCTTTAGCATTAAACTTCATATCACTTCCCAAGAACATTTACGAAAGAAGACCCCCTTTCTTCACTTAATCTTCGAAACGAATCATTTTTAGAAAACCCACAATCACATCGAAACGAGCTTTACTGAAAGGTTTGGTAAACAAATCTGCCACATTGTTATCAGTGTGAATTTGTTCCAAACGAATGAGTTTACTCTCATAACAGTCTCGAATAAAATGAATTTTAATGTCAATGTGCTAGGTATTGGAATGTTGAACCAGATTTTTAGCAATTTGAATGGCCGCATCATTATCACAAAAAATGGAAGTGTCAAGAAAGTTCAAAACGTAATCCAGCAATTGGTGTTGAATCCAGATAACCTGAGAGCAGCAGGCTGAGGCGGCAACGTATTCAGCCTCAACCGTTGAGGTCGACACCGTTTGTTGTTTCTTGCATTGCCATGACACCAATCGGTCCCCTAAAAACTGACATCCACCCGATGTAGATTTCCTGTCAAGAAACCTGAAAAAACCTGAAAAACTGCAAACAGGCTGCTGAACTCGTCGAGTCAGCTTATGGACTCGTCGAGTTCATCATGAACTCGTCGAGTTCATGAATGGACCCGTCGAGTCCCCCTGTCAGACAACATTTTTTCAGTTTTTCCAGCTTTGAAAAATTAACCAAGCAACAATATAACAGAAAACTACCCATGGCTTTGATACCACTGTTGGGTTTTACGTACTATAACACTCCTATGGTGCACATACAACCCTAATAGCTTTGGATATAAGTTTTCTCTAATTATACATGCAATAAAATTTCCAAATCATGAAGCCTACAACTAGCATATAATTTTGACATATAAATCATAAAAGTAAGTTAGAAGATTACCTCTTGTGGTAGCTTGTTGAATTTGGCCTTTCAAGAGCTTAGCACCCAGGTGTTGTGCCCCAAACAAGTCACAAACATCATGAACAATTGGAAGACAAATGAGAGAGAGATTAGGCACCAAAAATCGTCCATACTCTTGCAATTTCACTCTTTGGTCCGATTTTGGCTAAAAGGGGTTACACATATATAGTGTAGAATTCCAAGAGTTATATGTAACCCTAATTCTTACATTTAGGCTTATGATCCATAACTTATATGGACTAATAATTTATGGACTTTCACATAAGCTTAGCTCATTACAAATTAATCATGGATCATTAGTCCAAACCATATGTCTCACTTATTTACATAATCAGTCCCTGTTAATTTAATTAGTCTCTTTTGATAACTAAATTAATTCCAAATCAATTCTTGATCAATACTAATTAAATAATATGATTTCTCAATTAATATATTATACTTATAATATATTAATAAATCACAAATAACCTCTTACTCAAATATCCATCCTATCAAATTGTCCTGATGAAGGCAACCCGAAATGGACCATGCTAGTCTCGGGTCAAGTACATACCAATTATAGTTATGGGCTTAGACACCTAATCCAACAGTCTCCCACTAGGATAAGTCTAATAACTATAATTATAAGTACGACTTCAAAACCCGACTAGCAATCGTAGCCAAAATTCGTTGTCGAACTCTAATCAATAACGCGTCCATTAGATAAGGGATCATATATTCCTCCATCCTATATATCGTATGAACTGAGACATGAATTATAATCATTCTCTCTGTTCATGTGTTGTTTCCCGATTTCCGATTTATGACGACCGACTAATTGAACAAATCAAATCAGTCTAGGCTTGGCCAAGCGCTTAGGGTGTCATCACTAAATCATCAAGGGGCCCACAGATATCACTTTTATCCCTCTTAGGGTAAAAGGAATGGATAAACTTCGACTCATGTGATTGGTCTATTTACTCATCAAATCACACACAACAATATGTTTTATAACACCAAGTTACTGGTGCGTTTTCATATTATCAATGTGCAACCGACTTGTAAACTGCAACTCATATCTCTCCGTTTCAAGAATATAAGATATTATCGTATCATGATCACTCGTGATAAAATCCATGAAGTGATTCAAATGAGCGTGGGTTTAATCAAATACTGAAATC